TATTCATTGAAACTGCATAGCTTACCTCTGATGCTGCAGTAGGATTATTAGATAGTCTAATTCTAGGAAAGGGAAGTGCCTTAACTGACCATCCTTACAAACCGGCTTTGCCATCAGTGAATACTGTCCCTGATTTTAACACACTAACGTGTACGTGTGGATAGTGCTGTAAATTTATGAGGCTTTCTTGACAATAGTTTTTGTAAATTTAAGGTTTTACGTAAATGGAAGTTGAAATGTGTAATCTGGCAAGTTTAACTGATAAAAACATTGTTAATGGCACTTAACTTTTTATCTTATATGAAAAGATGCAACAGGTACTGTTACCTTTATGAATCTGTTTGTTGTTGGTCTGGATCAGTTTACCTTTGAGTAATTGGACTTTTTAAAATGTTACTCTTTAAGCCACCTGGGATTTATTTTAGTGTGTGGTGTGCCTGGTGCTGTCTAGGGTAGGTACCTACCTTATTCATGTTATCCTATTTAGTCCCTGTGATTATCTTTTGAGATTGCATTTCCCAAATGCTATTCAGTAATTCCAGTACCATTTATTAAGTAATACTCTCTCTTTCCCCTCTTGTTTTGAAAAGCTTATGTTATCATATGTGACATTTTAAGATATGGTTGAATCTGTTTCTATATTCTCTGGACTGTTCTATTGATGATTTTTTATGCTATTTCCATACTATTTAAGTTATGATTGCTTTTCACACAGTAGTGCTAGTCTTCCCTCATTTATATTCTTTTTCAGAATAGACATTTTGGAAGGGATTGCAAATCTATTTATCTCTGATTCATTGTACACTTTAAATCAAAATATATTTAGCATTAAATATAATCAAAATGATTTTTCTTTTTCTTTTCTGTCATTTTTGTCAGAGTGTGTGTGTGTGTGTATGTCTACTTTTCTGAGAGAGACAATCTTAACAATATCAAATATTCTCTGGAAAACCATATATAGGCTGACATTCCTCTTTCTTTCTAGGTAGTAAAACACAGAACTTTAAGAGCTTTCTTATATAATACGTAAGTATCAAATGTATGGAAAAATTGGACTGTTGACAGAAAATACCATCTCTTTTTCTCCCCTCAATTCAGCGTATCTTCATCGACATCTCAGAAGTGAGATGGCCCAGTCTTCACACTCAGGAGGGCGTGACATGTATGCAGAGTGGCACCGTGAAGATATCATCTTTAGATGGTCATGCATACCTTTGCCTGCCCAGATCTCAGCATGAATTTACAGTGCATTTCTTGTGTAAAGTAAGCCAGAAGCCAGACTCATCTAGAGTACTGTCAGAAAAAAAAAATCAAGCCAAAAAGGACAAACTAGTTGAAAAAGCTGGCAAAATCTGTACATCTGGAAGTTTATCAGGACAGAGACCGAAGAATAAAGAAAACGAACTTTATTATCAGATTATGAAATCCAGAGAGCCTTTAGAGAAGAAGAGTTGTGTAAATGGAACTGAAGGGAGGGAGGAGCCATCTTCACTTGGTTCAAAACACACATGTGTATACACGTGGGTGAAGCAGTGCTGGTCTGTGGCCTCCTGTCCAGAGGAATGGAGATACCCTTTGTCTTTAGCACTTCATTTTCATGATAAAATCAGCAATACATCTGGAATTGATGCAGATATCACCCAGAATAGAGTTTTAACGTCTGACCTTTCTGAGATAAGAGGAAAAGAAGTTTCTGTTCTTCCCAGGGCCCTGTTACTGAGCTGTCCTGTCCCACACCTGCACAGGTAATGGAAGAATGACTTCGTCCTAAAGCTTTTGTCAGAACCAGCCCTTACCTAAGGATCATTTTTCTTTCTGAATCATCTGATACCATTCATAAGGGAAGTTCATTCAGTTGATCTAAAACTTTGCTTATAACAGATAGTAAATAATTTCATAGCCAATGTATTGTTTATATTTTTCACTCTACATCCATACATTGAAAGTTGGTGGGAGGCTGATTATACACTAGATACTCTTGTTAAGCACAGAGACTACAGGGATGATTAAGACAGAGTCCCTGCTTTCTAGGAGCTTAGAGTCTAGTAAGGGTCACTGTCGCTGAAAAGATTATAGAGTGTGGGAAGTGATGGCACATTCTGGGTTCTGGGAGCGAGCCCCAGGAGGCACCCTCTGCCACTCAGTGGAACCCATTACCTTGGTTGCTGGACGAGCTTGTGATGATGGGTACTTTCTTTCATATGCAGCCACAGAGGCCATCCCATCTTTAGTTAACTGACAGTGAGTATGTCCATTTTCAAAAGGGATAAACATGGAGAAGCTTCTAGATGGCTAGGTACAAACCTTTTAGCTCCACTAAGATGAATAACCTAATGGTTATAGATTTGTAACATGAGCTTTGCATAAGTAGTGCAGTAATGATGGTAACAGCTAACACAAAGCACGCACTTTGTGCCAGGGTGGCTGTGCTCTACCTGTTTCATCCTCATAGTGACCCCATGAGGTGAGTGCTGTTATTATCCCCAGTTTGTAGAGGAACTTGAGAAACAGAAACATTGACTAGCCCGAGCAAAGTCTCACAGCCGGCACTTGTGGAACTGGGATTTGATCCCAGGTTGTCTTTGAGTATATATTTGCTATTTAAAACAGAATGTGGGAATGATTTTCAGGCTTGTCATGGTAATCTAGTTAGAATTGGAAATTTTAGTATTATGAGTACACCTCAAAAGAGATTTATGCTTCTAAGCAAACAGTTTTTCAATAACTTGCCACTGGCCTTGATTGAAGTCCATTATCCTTAAGCATGGCTTAACAGGCACTCTGTCACCTGGTCCCTCCCTGGATCTGTAATCCTCACCACTCTTGCCCTTACTTTCTCCACTCTTGCTAAACTGGACTTCTTGCAGTCCCTCGAATGCCTGGAAAGCCCAGGGTTTCTTTTACCACTGTACCTGCTCCTTCCTGTGCTGGGATCACTTCCTTTATCTCTCTCGGCTGGCTAACCTGTGCTCATTTCCAGGTCTTAGCATAAGCCTTTCTTCCTTAGGTTGGTTATCCTGAAATCCCTAGACAGGATTAGGTGCTATACAATCCCACAGAATCCAGTAATTCTCCTTTCTTTCTGTTTAATATTTACTGTTTAATGTCTCTGCTAGATACGAATCATTGAGGACAGGGACCATGTCTTCTATTTTGATGTTATATGCACAGTGTGTACAGCACAGTGTCTGGCCCACTGTAGATATTTCAGTAATATTTATCATTTGAATCCTAAATTTTAAAGGTTAGTAGAAATGTATGTGTTTGTGCTGAGATTCAATAATGAGATTATTGAAAACACTGGGAAAAATACCTGGAAAAATAAGATTATGGTTGACTATTGGCATGAAATGCGTGGGTCCACTTATATGTGGGTTTTTTTCAAAACTTCAGTACCTGTATTTTCATTTTTCAGGTCTTTAAATTAAGTAAGAGTCAGGGAAAGTTTGTGTTTGATTAGAGATCACAGTTTGTAGAATCAAAAGAACTAGGATTTGAATGCTGGATTCTATCCAGACTGTCTCAGCGTCGTGCCCTTAGGTGAGTCATTTATCAACTCCTTTGTTTTGGGAGCGGAGATAACAGTACTCAGTTTTCTACTTCCCTGGGGTCGGTGCCCCTAACCCCCATGTTGTTCAAGGGTCAGTGGTAGTTTTAAATTTCATTAATACATCTTCATATTAATTTTTACTTCTCTTTGATCTGATGAGTTAAGCAAGAAATACATCTTATTACAATAGTACTGTTTTGTTGACTTCTCAAGGCAATTATGTTAGGCATCCAGAACTTATAGCTTGTATTTTGTCCTTCACAGGTGGAATTTCTGTGATTCGCTTTCACAGGGACAGTTTGGCGACGAAGAATATTCCTATCCTGAACCAGTGAAAGTGGTTTGGCACAAGGGTGTTACCTATAGGTGAGGGGCTTGGGCTGCAGTTGGATCTATTTAGCGATGCCGCAGAGGGTATGGGACCAGCTTTGTGGACGGACTCCCCTAACAGGACGCAGTTTTGCCAGGGCCACTGTTCTATGTTTGGCCCTGAGTTTTACAGGTCTCACAACATAATTTTATTAGTGTACATAGAGGTCTTATGACTAATTCACATTAACCATGTTCACAGGATTTTTGTGATGGCTCCCAAGCCAGTGAGGGGTTAGTTTTGCTCATAAATGAAATATTTCTGCAGTTATTTGGGATGCCCCTTCCAAGCAGCAGAAGATCTAGTCGTCTGAATTAGTCACATGCTGCTGAGCATGGAATTAGAGAAGTTGTCTAGCCTGAGATAGATTTCCACCTTCATTCATGCAGCAAATATTCACTGTCTCCTCTGTGGCCAGACTATTCCACTGAATTATCCCTGCCCACCACAAAGTACACCTCTATGGTGACTGGAATTCTATTGTTGGCTAGATTCAGAGTTTCACTTCTGTAAAGAATACGAGAACAAATTTGTGAAATTTGTGCTCTTTGGTGTCTCCCTTCCCTGCATGAAAACTCACCCTCTTCTGACAATATATTGTTTCAGTAAAGTCGACTTGGCTTAAGTTTTTATACATTATATACCTAATACCTTGATTGTATCTGGCTGCTCCAGGTGCAGTCACCTTCTCTTAAGGGTGGCTCCTTTTACACGTGGCTAATCACATCCATCAGATATTGAGTCTACTAGTTTCATTATTAGAGAATAATCTTAGTTCTAGGTTCTGGAGTTGTCATATTTAACTCCTATGCAGCTGACATTGCTTTGGTGACTGTTAAGTGCCAGCCACTTGTGACTGACAGTGAGGATACCAGGATGATGAGACAAGATGACTGACTTCGAGAAGTTGAGCTTAGTTGAAATAGATACATTAACAAATTCTGTGTTCTGTTTATTTTTTTGCAAAAAATTAATTTTGCTGGTTGATGTTGAGTATGAAATTATCCATTTTTCTGGATAGGCAAGACCCTATACTGGTTTGCCCTTTTTTTTTTTTTTTAATGATTGCCTTCATGTATGTTTTAATCTCAATGAAAAGAAAACTTTTTTTCATTGATTATTTCTTTTCCTTAGACTTACCCATAAAAATATGAACTCAATAGAGATTCACCCTGGAGATGGATCTGTTTTCAAATCAGAAGGAGCTTATTTGGGGAACTATTTTACATGTTATTCTATTCAAGAAGGATCAGGAGTGGTAAGTTGACAATGAGGTCTCAGCTCAAGAAGATTTTTGATATATAGCTATTTCTAAATAACTCTGAGTATATCTCTGGGAAATTTGATCTGTTATAACATTTCTTGCTACTCCTCAGTTTGCTTAATTAATATAAACTTACTGCCAGCATTGGCACAGTAATACTTATTGGTCACTTATTTTTACTGTATTCTCATCTGGTTTTCTGTCATCCATTTGCCTAAGTAGTTTGTGTTTAAATCAGAAGTTAAAATTCTTCTGTCATAGAATTTACCAGTAGGAAACACTGAAAGTACTAATACTATACTTCTTTGAATTAGTATTTGCTCTTTAAAAAGCACATACATTGGTTTGCATATTTAAAATACCTCCTACCTCCTAAATCTTTGTATACAACTAGGATATAGAACAAGATTGTTCTCTGTCATTGATAACAGGGGCACATAACACGATATATTTAGTATATCAGGCCAAAATATAATCATGTGAAAACTTTGTTAATAGTTCCCAGTTTACTTGTTCCCAATCTGACACTTGAAATCCACCCTTTTATAGCAATCACTGCAGTATCACATGGCTTGGCTTTGCAGGATAGAACATAATATATTTTCTTCCTCTGTTACAGAGTGGAGTCTTTGAGTGATAAGATTATCAGAGTTGCTGGAAGAAGGCTTAAAACTAGAGCAGATTTTATTTATTTACTTTTTTTAACTAGGGAAAATTTCAAACACATGCAAAAGTAGAAAGACAGATGTAACAGACCTTCATGTTCCCATTGCCCAGCTGGTTCCCTCTTTCCTTCCACTGCCCCTCCACTCCCTATTTGTTTTTAAGTAAATCCCAAATATCATTTCATTCATAAATATTTTAGTATATATTAGAGCAGATTCCCTGCTGGGGTCTATTAGTAGGAAAGTATTCATTTATTCAATTAATATTAATTAAACATTCGTAGGTTGGCACTCTATTAAGCACTGGGCAAAGATGAAGAGTTCCTGCCCTCAAGGGTTCACAGTCTGACAGTCTAGTAGTCAGTCAGGCAAACAAGCAAATGAAATGAAAGTGTGTGTGTGTGTGTGCATGCATGTAGTGCATGAGATAATCAAATAAACAGGCAAAAAGAGTGAGTATGCATATATGTCTACACTGCTGACTGCTGTGTATTGGGAGTTCAAAAAACTACATCTTCCTGAAGCTTCAGTTTACTCAAAGTTGTCATGGGGAGGGGGTGATAATTTTTATACTGAAGCAAACATATCACGGAATAGAAGCATGTGCTTTGGGGATAAAACAAAACTTCCAGACAAGTTGTGCCTTTGTGTTGGACTGCTTTGGGCTTCACACACTCAGATCCCTGTGTGCAATACATTCACTCTCCTC